GCGGGTTTGCTCGCGGTGCCCCTGGTCTGCTGGGGACCGTCTCCAGCAGACCAGGGGCACCGCGAGCAAACCCGCCGGGGCTGCTGCTTTGCTCCCGATGCCTCTGGTCTGCTGGAGACGGTCCCCAGCAGACCAGGGGCACCGGGAGCAGCTTTTCTCGCCCGGAGGTCAAGGTGGCTGACCGCTGCCTGTGAGCTCCGGGACGAGAAAGCCCCATTCGTAAGTGCCTGTATAGGGGACTGCCTGTATAGCAAAATTAAAGAGTCACACAAGGTAAAACTGGAAGCCACTGGAAGCAAGTACTAGAAGCCAGGTTTTGACTCCCAGTCTAGTATCCTATCACTGGACTTTACCACCTCCTAGATTAAATAATATATTTTAAAACCATGAAACAACTCCCAAGGAAACCATTCCAATCTATTAGAAAATTATCTCAAAATTAAGTAACTGTTAGAACCAAATTTGAGTCTTACCTGGAGGTGCAATTCAAAGACATTTGATAGGCTCGACAGTTCAGGATATACTTCTGAACTAATCCAACATTAGGAAGACTATATCTCTGAATGGTGCCAGATTCACGCCCCTAGAAAAAAGGAACTTTTTGAATATTGAGACAGTCCATATAACTTGCCTAAAATTGTTGAACAAATCTTTAAATGATGTTCTAAGAATAAGATTTCATGGATGAAGAACAAACTCGAAGGAACACAGAAGGGGAACACCACCACAACATTAAACAAATCTCTGAATTCTGCTATATATAATGTTGCTCCAATCACTCCAAAAAATAAATTGGTCAAAATTATCTTCCTCATCCAATCAGACCACATCATTACCTCCTTTGAATTGCTCCATGGGTTTTCTCTTGCTCACAATATATAGTTTAATTTCTCATTCTCATCTTCAAGCTACCACACATTCTTGACATAAATCTCGGATCTTTTATCTCGTACATTTCCCCTTATTTTTTATCAATACCACCAACCTCAATGTCCTTTTCACTTTCTTCTCCCACCCCAGCCTTCATGACTTATTAATACATTGAAGAAATCCAACTTCTTGACTCCCACACTTTCCTCATTCAAATCCCTACGAAGGGCCCAGTTCTTTTGTGAGGCCAATAAAGAGAAATAATTCAAAAGAATCAGATTCAGAATATGGAAAATGATGTAGAATAATCGAATTGCAAATGCCTCAATTTTCAATCCTCTGGACACAGTGCCACACAGATTCTGGTGCTCTGAGACAATCACAGACTGGTGGGATTACATTGTGGTACAGAAAGGAGACTATCAACTGTAGCTGCAAAACTTTTGCATACATGAGGCCACTTTCATGGAGCTTTGCGAATTGCTTTCCCCCTCACTGAAGTGCAATACCAGAATGAGACTCACTCTCTCAGTGAAGAAGCTAGTGGTAATAGCCCTGTGGAAGCTTACAGTACCATACAGCTAGTGGTCAGTTAGGAAATAATTTGAGTGGGGAAATCTAAAAGGCCACTGTTGTGATCCAAGTAGCCAAGACAATCAATACCTTTCAGCGATGGAGGATAGTGACCAGGGCTGGCCCGAGCCATTCGTATGCCCCGAGCCCCGAGAGCACGGCGCCTCCCCCCAGGAGTGCAACACATGTGCGGCCCCGCCCCTGGGAGCGTGGCATCCCCTGCCCCCCCCGTGCATGCACGGACCCTGCCCCTGGGAGCTCGGAGCCTGTGTGGCGCTCCCCAGGGCACGTGGAGCCATCCCCGCCCAGCCCAGCAGCCCCGCACGGCGCCCCCTACAATGGGGCGCCTCGGGCGGTAGTCCGGTTGGCTCGTACCTTGGGCCGGCTCTGGTAGTGACTCTGGAAATATGGAGGACATAGTAAAGGGCTTTGCTGAGCTGGAATGAGGTGATAGACAAAACACACATCCCAATCTTGGCATGTGACCACCTTGCAAAGGAGTACATAAATTGCAAGGGGTACTTCTAGATGCTGCTGCAGGGGCAGGTGGATCACAAGGGCCATTTTACTCACATCAACATGGTCAGGAAAGGTACATGACACACACACACACCTTTAGGAACTCCTGCCTGTTCCTCAAGCTATAATCTGGAACTTTTTCTCCAACCAGAAAATATGATCGGAGATGCTGAAATGCCAATAGTGATCCTTAGAGGCCCAGCTTACCCCTTGCACCTGTGGCCCGTGAAGCAATACATGGGCAACCTGGACTGCAACAAGGTCAACTACAGACTGAGCAAGTGCAGAATGGGGATAGCTTTGGGACGTTTAAAGGGAAGGTTCCACAGTCTGCTAACTAGGTTAGACCTTAGCAAAAGCAACATTCCCATGGTGGAGACAGCCTGCTATGTGCTTCAGAATATTTGTCAGAGCAAGGGTGACATGTATCTGTCTGGGTGGAATGCTGAGGCATAGCACCTAGTCAAGCATTTTGAGCAGCCAGACACCAGGTCCACAAGCACAGCAAAGCGAGGGGCAACACTAATCAGAGATGCTTTGAAAGACAGTTTTATGAATAGCCAGTTTTGAGAGTTATGCATGTTACTTTCAACAAAGTACCCCTGCATTCAGTGTTCTTGCCTGTAATCTCCCACCCCTTCAATACAAGCAATAAAGAGACTGTTGTTCACAAATCATGCATTTTTATTAAGAAAACATAGATCAGTGACAGGAGTCCAGGGCACTTTTCATTTCTGATTCACAAGCCAAGTTTACAAAGTTGTAGCTAAACTTGCTGTCTTTCCTCATATATGTAATCTCAATAAAAATCAATAGTACTACAGCATTCACGTGAGTAGAATTGACCAACAACTCAGTTCAGTTCAGAAAAAAAAACTTTCAGATGTTTGAATACTTATTCAAACCTTTGTGGAAGTTTCTTCCAACTTGTGACTTTCCAAGGTCAGCTTATTTAAACTATGCCACTTACCACTATTAGTGTCTTATCAGATGCGGTTATTGCACAAATTGGATCTCTTGTCCCCTGAAAGCATATAAATGTCACTGGAATAACCATTTTAATTCTTCTCAGTAAAAACTGATTGTCAAAGAACAGCAGCAGAGCAACAATATAATTAATTGCAAACTAGCAAATAAAAAGTTGGGAAAGGACTTGGGTTTTTCCCACTGAGAAAAGGCAAAATGCATCAGAGGTACACCCTAGAAAGGGCTTGATACAGATCAAGGATTTAAACTTATTTCAAACTAGCAGGAAGATTTTTAGTTCGCCTAGAATTAATTTACTGACTTCATGAAAGACTGTTCTTACTCCAAATAATCCTTACATTGTATAATAATAATAACCACCACCACCACCTATGGCAGAGGTTCACATATGATCAGTCTTACTTGAAAGATTTATACAGAAATCTAGGAGGTAATACAGGTGGAAATAGCATTATCTCCCTGTGATACTGTCAATTTCCTGAAAAATCCTGAATGAACTTTACTGAATTAAGTTAAACATCTTTGAAGTTCAGCGTATTAAAATGCAAACATTTATGTGCTATTTTGAGACTATATAGGACTTCTTTAGCAGGAAGACAGGATTAATGTAATCTCTGGAACAAAACTCTTGATCAAAGACCTTTGAATGGTATAAAGTGTGAACAAAACAAATTATGAGCATGCTTGTTCTAAGCTGAAACTATAATTAATTTTTGACTGCTAAGGAATCACACTGGGTGGGGGATGGAAGAACTGCATTCCAACAGAATTATGTTAGGGTTCAGGTTAATTCTGGTAAGATTTTTTAGCATGCATATTGGTTCTTTTACTGTTTTCTTTGCTTTTTCCCCTAAAATTGGCTAGCAGAGGAAGTGCTTATATCTGTTGTAATTGGCTAGCAGAGGAAGTGCTTATATCTGTTCCCTTATATTTTGGTATGTGTCAACTGGATACACTTATGTTCATCAATGCTTTCTATTCAGCACGCTATGGCAGACAAGCCCTTCATGTACCGCATTCATTTACTAAATAAAAATATTTTCAAAATTCAGGTTCTCCAGTCTACTTAAATTCTCATTAGAGGCTGAACAGTACAGGATATCTCAATGAAGAGAACACATTACCATTTATGAAATCTGGTGATTTTGTTGTATGGGAAAATAGCAGTATTTCTCTGTTTACTTGTAAGTCAATAAATAATATTTCTTTTATTTAAAATAGAACTACTTTCAATTAAAATATTTAAAAATGTATGTTGCTTTGCTTTAATAAGACAAATTTCAGCTATTTTATTTGTTCACATCAATTCAAAATTTCATTTGTATTTTATATATGTCCTACTATGTAATTTCACTTGTCTTTTTAATAACTTCTTTTCTCTGTAGTCTATGAAGCCCCAGGTGAACTGCTCTGACAGAGATCAACAGTAGGAAATTGAAGCCTGCTTGCTATAAATCCACAAGAAAGCAATTCAGAGGGGTTACCAAGCAGCCATAGATCTGGGAAAGAATTATCAAGCATCATTTGTAAACAATGCTGCTTATTATGATCCTGCATTTTGGGAAATGAAGTAGTAATAATTGCTCTCAAATTTACCAAACAAATATGATGGCACAGCCCTGATTTGAATAGCCTACAACTGTAGTTTTAGATATGATGAAATGATTAAGGGTAATAAGAAGTGAAGAGGAGAAAACAGAGATGATGAAGAACACAAGCATTGTACAAAGATCTCAAGTTTATTCAGCATCAGCATGTGTACATCTTGACAGCACAGTTAAAAGGGCAGCTGGCAATTTTTTAAATTACTGATGTCTCTTGGGCATTGTGTTTATTTTCTCTCTCTCTCTAGAACAGGAACCATACCTTTTCTATGTTCTCTAAAATTCATGGTACTGTTAAAATGTGTGATGATGATAAGCAGTAGGAAGAGAGGAACAACACATTTACAAGCCAGTTTAAACAAAATGAGCACACACATTTTAAAATGTATTAATCTGAACAGAGCAATGCTAACAATTATTAAGTATACAATGATAGTATAATATACTGGCTAAGAGGATCACTTACTTGAATGGTCTTGCTGTAATCAAGCACTCCATCGATAGCTCCAGAAGGGGTATCATCAATGTGAAAAATCCTGTATGAAGGAGTAGGGTTTCAAAGAAGAGATCAGTTTGAATAGCTGAAATTTTAAAAAAAACTGCATAAATCTAGGCAAACGAAGGCTACTCACCTTGTGCAGTAACTGAAGTTCTTCGAGATGATGTCCCCGTGGATGTTCCACGCTTGGTGATTAACAAGCAGTTTTGCCCCTTGGTGGCTGGGGCTTCGGAATGTTACGATAAACAGAAGAAAGTACTGCTGAGCCCACTGCGGTGTTTCCCGCATAGGGAAGTGCATAGTGCTTAGCAAAAGTAAGTTGCAATGCCCAAGTGGCTTCTTTGCAAATGTCCATTAGTGGCATGTTACATAGGTATGTTGTGGAAGCAGATACAGCCCTGATGGAATGAGCTGTCAAGCATAATGGTGGCTGTAGGCCCTTGAGCGCATAAGCAGTTTTTATGCAGTCTGTAATCCATTTCAACAACCTCTGCTTCGATATGGGGTGTCCCTTCACTCAATCAGCAAAAGCAAGGAATAGGCAAGGTGACTGTTTGAAGGGTCTGGGTCTTTCTAAATAAAAGGACAATGCATGCCAAACATCAAGGGTGTGCATGGCAGACTCAAAGGAGTTGGTGTGAGGATTTGGAAAGAACACAGGTAGGTTTACCATTTCGTTTATATAAACTGATGATGGAACCTTCAGTAGGTATTTTGGATGTGTACAAAGGGCAACCCTATCGCTGTGGAATACTGTGAAGGGTGGTTCAGCCATGAGAGCTACTATGTCTCCCACGTGGCAGGCTGATGTGACGGCAACCAGAAACGCAACCTTCATGGAAAGGTGCGAAAGGGAGCATGAAGCGAGGGGGCTTGAAGGGCAGCCTGGTCAAGGCTCACAGCACTAGCCCTAGATCCCAGGTAGGTACCAGTTGTATAATGTTGGGATGTGAAAGATGCAATCCTTTAAGAAACCTCTTGGTAACAGGGTGAATAAACATGGAATGGCCATCAATTTTGCAATGGAAGGCCATTATGGCTGCTAGGTGTACTTTAATGTGCTAAAGGAGCTAAAGGAGAGCAATGATTGTTTTAAGGTGAGCAAACAGTCGAGGATAAAGGAGAGGGTGTCAAGGATGCCTCTCAATGTGCACCATGTGAGAATCACTTCCATTTGTAAGTGTAAGAGGTACGGGTGGAGTCCTTATGACTATGGATGAGGATTGCTTGCATCTGTTCTGGAAAGGTTCATTCTCCCTGGGAGAGCTACGGAGGAGCCATGCTGTTAGATGTAGCTTGCGTAGATCCGGGTAGGTTTGCCCTGTCTGCCCCAGAGTGATCATATTTTGTTGGAGAGGGAGATTGATGGGAGTGCAAATCAACATTCTGAGCAGAAAGGGATACCACGGTTGTCTGGGCCAGGCGGGGGCTATCTGGATGACAGTGGAGCCATCCGTCCTGATTTTCTGAACTACCCTGGCCAGAAGTGGTAAGGATGGAAAGGCATAAGCAAGGTCCCAATCCCATTGGATGAGGAAGGCATCCCCCAGAGATCCTGTCCCTATACCGGCTCTCTAGCAGAATTGAGTGCGTCATTGCAAACAGATCGATCAATGGCTGGCCCCACCTGTGAAAAAGGGAGCATGCTATCGAGTAGTTGGAGTACCTATTTGTGATGTTGGGGAAAATGCCTGCTGAGAACTGTCACGTTGGAGATGCCTGGTATGTGGATTGCAGAGAGGTGGATATTGTGGCTGATACAGAAGTTTCACAGTTTTATGGCTTTGGTGCAAAGGGAAGGAGATCTGGCTCCTCCCTGTCTGTTGATATAGAAAACACGGACAGTGTTGTCTGTGAGGATACAGAAATGCGTGTTGGCAATAGAAGGCAGGAAATGCCTTAAAGCATTGTGTATGGCACACAATTCTAGGAGATTTATGTGTAAGGACATCTCTGGGCTTGACCAGAGGCCTTGGGCAGTCTAATCACAGAAATGAGGACCCCATCCGGTGAGGGAGGCATCGGCTGTAATCATGTACAAGGGGAAAGGCTAGCGGAAGGGGACTCCCATGCAAAGATTGGCTAATTTTGTCCACCAAAGGAGCGATGTTTTGAACTCATGCAGTATCATGAGCAAGAGGGACACTGTGTGTTTCTGAGGCCTGTAAGCTCTGGAAAACCAAATTTGTAGGCAACACATGTGAAGTCGAGCTGAATGTTGTGGCTGCCATGAGGCCAAGAAGTTGAAGGCAATCTCTGGCTGTGGTGCAAGCGGCAAGGTTGATCGTTGTGGCCAGATTCTGAATGGCGATTAACCTTTCGTGAGCAGCCGCAGAATTTAGGCATGCTCCGATGAACTGTATGTTTTGGGAAGGGTGAATGGGAGTCTTTTCCCAGTTTATGCGGAGTGATAGATTTTGAAAGCACTGTGTGGTCGTAGCTGTTACACATGCCGATTCTGTCTGCAACAATGCCTTGAGAAGGCAATCGTTGAGATAGGGGAAAATAATTATTCCCATAGACAGAAGGTGAGTTGTGACTATGGGGAGTACCTTGGACTATGTCTAGACTACATCCCTCTTTTGAAAGAGGGATGTAAATTAGGCAGATCAAAAGTGCAAATTAAGCGCGGATTTAAAGATCCCATGCTTCATTTGCATATTCCCATCTGATCACTCTTTTGAAAAAGGGTATTTCAAAAGTGAAACCGCAGTCTAGACGTGGTTCTTTCAAGGGGGAAAAAAAACTTTTTCAAAAGATCCTGTACACCTGAGGTGCCTGGTGTTGTGGAGAGACCGAAGGGTAGTACTCGGTACTGGTAGTGGTCATGGCCTACCATAAATCTCAGGAATTTTCTGTGAGTAGGATGGATTAGGATGTGAATTGGTTGAGGGCTGAAAACCAATCGCCTTGTTTCAATGCCGGGACAATGGTGGATAGAGTGACCATGCGAAAATGTTATGTTTTGACAAATCAGTTAAGATTGCACAGGTCCAAAATCAGCCTCCAGCCTCCTGATTTCTTTTGCATTAGAAAATAGTGGGAATAGAACCCCCTGCCTCTGTGCTCATGTGGAACTGGCTCTGTGGCTCCTAGATCTAAAAGACGGAATATTATGAGAGGGGTCCCTGAAGAGGGGCAGGGTAGGAGGGTGGGTGGGAGGCTTGGAAAGGAACAGTATGGTATAACCATACAGAATAATGTTGAGCACCCATCTGTCTGAGGTGTTGTAATCCCATTGGTGGTAGAATGGGGAAAGCCCATCTTGGAAGGTTCACATGGTCAATCTCGGCATTGAAATTTGTAGGGGGTTTTCTAGGCCCTCGACCAAGTGTTCAAATTTGCCAGTTGGCTGGCAGTGGTTGAGGGGCCGAGCTGGAAGACTGTCTTCGTCTCAGAAGTTGGGTTGTGTTTCTGTTAGAATTGTTATCCTGCTGCTGGTTAAGATAGGATGGGTAACGTGGCCGTTGGTATGGTTGGTAGCAGTATTGTCTCCGCCTGTTGGTAGATGTATGTATCCCCAACATGCGGAGAGTGGCGTGGCAGTCCTTCACTGTGTTGAGGACTTAATTTGTCTTGGCCACAAACAGTTTTTCACAGTCAAAAGGCAGGTCTTTCACAGTGGACTGGATTTCACATGGGAGAGTAGCCAGGAAAACCAAGAGGCTCCGCACATGACAATGCCAGTAGCCGTGGTTCTAGCGGAATCCAGTGTTGCCTAGAGGGCAACTCTAGAAATGGTGTGTCTCTCCAAAAGTAAAGCGGAAAATTGAGGTATTTTTGCCTCATGGATATCATTGACGAACTCCATGAGTTTGGAGTAACAGAGAAAGTCGTATTTCACTAATAAAGCGGAATAGTTTGAGATTCTGAACTGTAAAGTTGCAGAAGTATAAGTTTTATGCCCAAACAGATCGAGCCTCTTTGTGTCCTTATTCAGTAGAGTGCTGCGGAAGCAATGTTATTTTGCCCAATGTTGTTTTGTGGCTTCCACCACTAGTGAGTTCAGTGTGGGATGAGTGAAGAGGAATTGTGAGGTATTGGTGAGCATGTAATATTTTTTGTCTGCATGCTTGCACAAGGGTGGAATTGATGCAGGTGTTTGCCAAATTGTGTTGGCCGGGTCTAAAATGGTGGGATTGATGGGGAGGGCAATTTTGTAGGATGGAGCAGCTCATCAGTATATCAGTAAGCTCATGCTGGGGTTGTGCCACCTCCTACGTGGCAATTTTGAGCTCATCTGCAACTCTCTTAAAAAGATCATTAAAGTGCTGGACGTCATACGTGGGTGGCGGTGGCATGATCGCTTCATCCGGTGATGAAGAGGAGTTGGTGAGAGGTGACAAATCAAGGGGTGACTCCTCCGTTGCTTGGGCACCTTGGGCGTTGATTGTTGCATCGATGTGGATGTTTGAGGTGTAAGAGAGGCATTGTGTTTATAAGGGCTTGCATTGCATGCTGTAGTGACTTCTGTATGAGCCCCAAGAACTCCAATAAGGCATCTGTGTCGGATACGGTACTGGAGGAGGCATCCAGTGGTGTCCATACCAAGGACGAATCACTCTTGAATCATATTTGGGCTTGTAATATTTCATCAGAGGCCTGCAGTGCAGAGAGGAAGCGGCCTGTACCTCCTCTTCATCGTTGCTAGAGAATTGTGACTGCACCGGAGATAAAGCCCATGATGTCATCAATACTGGCAAAGCATTGGCGCTGAAGAGTGGTGATTGAGGGGCAGATGTGATTGCCAAGTCAGCACTTCGCATGTACAGCAACGGTACCACGAGTATCAGTGCTGGGGTTTGTAATGTGGGTCTGTACGGTGCAGATGCAGTGTTCAGCATAGATGGCAGAGATCACAAGTATGTTGACAGTACCGAATATATGAGCGGTGCCGATGGTGCCGACGAACGAGACGGTACCGTCAGTGCAGTGGAAACCATCAGTGCCATAGAGCCTGGAACCATTAATGGAACTGGTACCGTAATTTTCGGTACTGATGAAGTTGGTGGGGCCTGAGCTGGTACCGATGTGGATGACAGTACCAAGGTCTGTGCCGGAATGGTCTTAGGGTGATGCTTGAGCCGTTTTCTGTCGGTGCTGCCGGTGTGCGACAGTTCCTGGACACCTGAGGTGCCCGGCGCGTAGTAAGTGAAGACACGAGGCCTCTGCACTGATGGTTTGGGCGGAGACCGTTTTCTCAAGGAGGACTGGTGATTGGGCACAGAGGAACTCCTCTTTTTGGGTGCCTTCTTGCCCTGAGATGAGCCTGGGGGTGAACGTACCTCCCTAGGCTGTCTTCCCAGATCCAAAGCCAGGTGGTCCTTCTTTTCCATAAGGATGAGTTTGAGGCGAAGATCCCTGTCCCTGCAAGTTCTGGCCTTAAGTTTGGTGCAGTAAGGACAATCTTGAGAGGTATAGTGTTCTTCTAGATATCTGACACATTGCGAATGTCCATCTTAGATAGGTACTGCATCTCTACAGGAGGCACAGTGTTTGAAACCTAGAGAGCCGAGCATGATGAATTTTTTTTTTTTTTTTTGGTAACTAGTGTAACTATCAAAACTGTTAACAACACTAACTAAAACTGAGAAATAATAGCTAATGAACGATGAAAGGCATGAACAAGGCAGAGAACTGTAGAACTCCGTCTCAGGCTGAGGGAGGTTGAGAAGGAACTGGAGAGTGCAGGCCACGCATGCATGGTGCCGACTAGCATGGCACGCGCCGGTTGGTGCCGTGCATGTGCGGCCCGGCAGGGACTGCTGCAAAATCTCCGATCTAGGCACTGGGGATGGCACCAAGACCAAGCGTTGAGCATCCATGGGGACTTCTCAAAGAAGAAAGATTAAAAGTAAGTCAGTTTTTAAGCTCTGGCAGTGTCCCTGTAAAAGAGACATGGTAGGTACAGTAATGTTTTTTAATTCCCTTAAGTCGATTCAAAGAAGAGTTAATATTATTGCTATACACACAATACTATAGATTAACATGAAAATGTGGAAATAGAGAAGCTGGAGGATTTGAAGGATACTATGAAGCCAATGCTAGTATCTGTGTGGAAGGATGGAAAGCAGTGGGTGGGGTGGAGAAATCACAGCAAGGTTTGGAATCTGAGAGACAGGAAGAATAGTGACATTATTGCCAATGATGGAGAAGTAGTAGAAGGAAACATTCTGGAAGAAAGATGAGGAGAATAGCTTTTGACATGCTGAGTTTGAGATAAAGATTTAAAGGGATAACTGGTTAACCAGTTACCCAGTAAGCATTGCCTTGCCTGCCTGCTTACCAGGGTTACCAGTTAACCAGCACCCAGAGCAGCTCATTGCTTGTGGCCCCTGCCTGGCCAGGCTGGAACAGCCCCCCAACCTGGTTAAGCCAGAGCAGCCCCTACCTGCAGGGTAGTGGGCCCTGCCCGGCTTGAACATACCAGGATGAGGCAGACCCTGCCCAACCCAGATGGATTAGCCCCCAGACTGTGCCACGGCCCTGCCCAACCCAACCGGGCCTACCACCTGCAGCATGATGCAGTGAGCCAATTAAACATATAGTTGAACTGGTTAACATTTAAACAAGATTTTAATGCCTACTTTGAGATGGCAGCATGCCATACAGGAGATAAGGTGAAAGACAGTTTGAGGTGTGAATTTGTTTATAATGATACAGGTCAGAAAAAGGGTAACACATAACGGTTGATAGTAGGGGAGACATAATTTAAAGGCCCTGGGGTGGCCTCCTCTGGATCTAAAGAAGCATTTTCAAACAGTAGGGTATGCCCCACTACAGGGGCATAGAGGAATATTCAGGGGGGCAGGGAATAGCAATGCCAAACATTTTGGCCAGGGGCTGCCAGGTGGCTGAGGCTAGCCCAAAGAGGGAGTGCCATTTTCGCCCCAACTCACCTTTGAAGCCATTATTAAATGGAAAGCAGGGCAGGCCCTGCTACAGTATGAAGGGAACAATATTCCCTTAGGCAAAGCTCCTGGTATAGGAGTGGAAGAGCAACCTCTGTCCTGGAAACAGACCCAGGGCAGTTGTGCCGAAGTGGCCTGCAAAGCAGGCACCAGGAAATGCTGGGATTCCAGCAGCAAGGAAAGAGAAACAGCTCCATGTAGCAGGGCTAGGGGGAGATGCTCAGCCCACAGCAAGTCATCCCAATCCTTCTTCCCTCCCCGAGCTGCACAGACCCACAATGAATGCTGATGTCAGGGGAAACTGCTGCCTCTTGCTGCTGGGTGTCCCAAGGCCCTGCCCACCCTCATTGCTTTGTAGGACAGAATCTGCAAGGAACATTTAGTAGTTGGCAGAAAGTCAGGGGAGGAGAGGACATGCCATGTGACTGCCCACTATGCATTGCCTCTGGGCAAGGGGTGGATGTGGATACCATCAACATGGAAATAGTTATGGAGTGGATAAACTTGCCTAGAGATAGTGGGTGCAAAGGAAAAAAAAAAGAGGCTAAAAACCATCTTCTCCCATTCTCAAAACTCTAACATGCCATTGAAAAGGAGGTCAAAGAGACAGGAGTATACTGTGAAAATGCTCTAACCAAAAGCAGTTTTATATAACAATTACACATTTGTTTTAAAACTATTCTTATTCATCTCCTTAAATAGGCTTCGGAGCCAGCAAACTGAAGACATAAAATTAAAAGAAAAAATAGGAGTGGATATTTCTAGGAAGTCTCTCAACAGTTATGTTGTGCTAAAGCAAGAAAAAACTTAAAAAGGGATACAAACCTCTCTCTGCCTTCTTTTCTAGTCCGTGCTACCTGATTAATTTCCATTGCTGTGAGCCGCTTGGCAACACGGTATTGCCAAATATAAAATGCTTCTTTTGAAGCTGCTATCACATGGGTTTTGGTCATTGTAACAAATAACGGTCCTGTAATGAATAAAATTAGAATGGCAAATTAAGATATAGACCAAATTCATCATACAGAAACTAGCGAAACTTTGCTTAAGTGGACAGACTTGCATCTCTTTAGTCCCATAGAAAAAAATAGCAAAATAATGTACTTTGTTCATTACCAACTTACTTCACTGTAACTGTCCATACATAGGCAAAACTGTGTGTTTTTCAATCATGTTAACTCAATCAAGCTAGCTTAAACCACCTGAATCTCCCCTACTCTTAATATCTGTGCATACATAGTTTAATACATTTCATATCTTTTAAGCAGGTGGTATTTATAGCAACTTAAGCTACTAGATACCAACTCAAACAATGTAAGGTCTTGTACTCGTAGATGCTCAGGAAAGCTAATCCAAAAATAACTTTTAAAGTGAATGAGGTAAACCTAATTAAACTCCTGTGTGGACACGCTTCCTGGAAATGTAAATGTCCTTAATTCAATTTAAGAAAATATTTGAAGTGGTAAATAGCATGGCCCAAAGAAGATAAAGCACTGTGATGCTTCCTTAATACTGTTTTCTAAAAACTTTAAAACAGGCAGGTAATTCCAAAGTTATTACTAATATCCCCATAATCATATTTCCACAGAGCAAAATAATATAATAACTGACTATTACAATAATATAATATTACAGTATTCACTGAGGAAAATAAATTTACATGGATCAATGTGTGATTTTCTGTATGCATCTATTGAATTTTAGAATGAAGTTGTAAAGCGTAGTTAAAAGAATATGCAGAAAAGAAACTGGGCAATTAAATGACTCAGGCCTTAAAATATGCAGATAGAGTAATGTGTTGCCAAATGAGAAATCAAATTCAAGAAATTCAATATCTTAGGCTAGAAACAAAAGGTTCACTCACACAGGTTACATAGTAAGAACTCGAAATCCAAATCTTTTGCAATAAATCGTTCTAAAATCTTTCACGCTTGGCAATAACTCCATAAGGAGCTACAAGCCTTTCACAATAAGAAGTCCTTACTCTTGCACCCCCCACACTGCCAGCCCCCTGGCCTGAAGAACCTGAGCAATACTGGGTAAGTCTTCCAGTGTATTATAAAAGAACAATCTGAAGAAATCCAAGGCATAAAGTGGGAATATGAAACAACGAACAAAAGAACCAACACTTTCATACGCACTAAGTACCAGAAAATAATTTGAGAATAATCTTAACTGAAATAAAGCTATTGAATTATAAATAATTTTTAAATGAACAAATTCCTTGCTTACAATCCCTAATACCTGAGATGATTAAGTTTCTTTCTCAGCTAGTACTATGAGTAGTTAATTGTAATTACCATTAATTTAATGCACCATTATGAAGCTGCACTATGTAGACTAAAACACTGCAGGAGGATAATTATTTGTTAAAAGGATCGATTAAAATGATCATGAAGACCAAAGCTGCATGAAGACCAGCATGGCCAAGTCAGACATGGCACTGACCTCTCAGAGCCCTTCTCAATACACAACGGTGTAAAGCAAGGCTGCATCCTCACGCCGACTCTCTTCACGATCTTCTTCAGTATGATGCTCCAAAGAGCCTAAGTAGAACTTGATGATGAAGACAGTGTCTATATCCGATACCGTATTGATTGCAGTCTGTTCAACCTGAGGCGACTAAAGACCCATACTAAGACAGTGCGGCAACTCATCCGAGAATTACTCTTCGCTGACGATGCTGCCCTTGTTTCTCACACAGTTGTAAAATGTACTCCAATATACGAGGTAGAGATGTGGAATAGGGGTCCAGGTTATTAACTGCAAACCATGCCTGGAATCTGGACCACTTACCTAAAGAGTTAGACAAAAGCAGGCGCGACTGGAAAGCGGGGGGAAGGCTTGGGGCATTTCCTGTCACTCAACACATTCCAGCTCACTAAAATTCTCCACATCCTTTCCTCCCTGTTTTTCTAATTGCTGTTACTTAAAATTCATTTTGCTGTGGCAGAGGGTTGGTTTTTAGTGTTGCATTCCTTCAGATTGCACAAAGCACAGCTGGGGAAAATGGCTGGCATTTTGAGAAGCAAGTCACGGGCTATAAGAATTACTTGAGCCCCATCCATGCTGATTTTTTCGAGAACCTTGGGTATTAGAACGACTGGGGGAAAAGCATACAACAGCGTCCGCCCCCAGTGGAGAAGGAAGGCGTCTCCTAGTGACTGACGTCCTAATCCAGCTATTGAACAATAGGTGGGGCATTTCCTGTTATTTTCTGTGGCAAACAAGTCTATTGTCGGAAACCCCCACCGAACAAATATATGGCTTAAAACCTCTGGGCAGAGTTCCCACTCGTGGTCGTGTGGGAAACGTCTGCTGAGTGAGTCCGCTACTAAGTTGTCGGTACCCGGAAAGTAGGATGCTACTAGGATGGTGTTGTTGTGAATACACCAATTCCATAACCGGACAGCCTCCGCGCATAGGGAGCGAGATCGAGCGCCTCCCTGCCTGTTGATATAAAACATAGTTGCCATGTTGTCCGTCATGATTCTGGTAGTTGTATCCCGTATGTGGGACTGAAAATGCTTGCAAGCATGTCGTTCCGCCCGTAACTCGAGTACGTTGATGTGTAACATTTCCTGAGTTGACCAGCGACCCTGAATCGTCAGGTTGTCCATGTGCGCCCCCCAGCCTGTGAGGGAAGCATCTGTAGTTATCTGTCTTGTAGGCTGTGGACGATGAAATGGGATGCCCATGAGGAGATTGTCCGGTTTGGCCCACCACTGAATAGACTCTCAAACATGTTGGGGTACCACCAACGGTTTGTGGATTATGTCTTTTGCCGGACTGTAAACCATGGTCAACCAATGTTGGAGGCAACGAAAATGTAACCTTGCATTTTGTACGACTATGGTGGAAGCCGCCCCATCAGTTGTAAACATACGCGTGCAGGAATTGTGGGAGCATGCGTGACAGTATGTACAAGATCTTGAATTGCCACAAAACGCTCCAACTGTAGGTACGCCCGTGCCACGGTTGAGTCGAGCCATGCACCTATAAAAACCAGGTCTTGGCACGGAATTAGTAATGACTTTTTTACATTTATGAGGAGGCCCAGGGATGCAAATTCGCTGGACACTGTCTGCACCATATGACATGCCTCCACATATGTTGAACCCCTGATTAGACAGTTGTCTAAGTAAGGGAATATTGTCACTCCCGTCCTGCGTAAATGAGCCGCCACTACGGCTATAGTTTTGGTGAAGACCCGGGGGGCACACGCCAATCCGAACGGTAGAACCCTGTACTGAAAATGTTCGTTCCCTAATTGGAATCGAAGAAAACGTCTGTGAACCACGTGAATAGGAACGTGGAAATAAGCATCCTGCAGGTCGAGGACTGCAAGCCAATCTCCTTTGTTCAACGACGGAATGATACTTGATAAGGTCACCATCTTGAACCGGCATTTTCGAAGATGGCGGTTTAACCTTCGAAGGTCTAAGATGGGTCTCCAGCCTCCCGATTTCTTTGGTGTGAGAAAATATCGGGAATAAAAACCTTTTCCCCAAAATTGTTTGGGTACTCTCTCTATTGCCCCGATTGCGAGTAAGCGAAGAGAGAAGGGCCCCTGAAAAGGGACGGGGTGGGTGGGGTGGGAAGGGAGAGAAAAGGAATTGGGAGGCCGTCCTTTACGACTTCTAGTACCCATCTGTCTGTGGTGATGTTGGACCACTGGTGATGATATGATTTCAGTCGATGGTGGAAAAGATGAGGAGTTTCGTTTTCCACATCGATCGAGGGAGACGTGCTTGCAACCTCGACAGGGAAGTCAAATCTGCTGCTTGTTTGAAGACTGGTTGGTTGAATGGTTTTGCTGGGGTCGTTTCCTCTGAGGACGCTGCCTAGGGCTCTGATGGAAAATTAAAATCATATCTTCTCTGATAAGGGTAATAGCGCCTACGCTTAAAATTGGGCGTGTACATCCCCAGTGTACGTAGGGTGGTGCGAGAATCCTTGCCCGAATGGAGGACTTCATCAGTATTTGCTGCGAAAAGCTTAAGCTTATCAAGGGGAGATCTTCGACTTTACTTTGCAGCTCCTTTGGTGCTCCTGCAGACGAAAGCCATGATGATCTCCTCATTGCGATACCCGTAGCTGTGGCCCGCGCTGCTGTGTCGGCCACATCCATTGCAATCTGCAATGCAGTACTACATGCTGCGTATCCCTCCTGTACTATTGCTTTTAGTAGAGGTTTCTTAGCGTCCGGAAGATGATGTAATAACTCTGCTAGCTTTGAATAATTATCAAAATTGTGGTTTGATAAATGAGCCAAGTAGTTTGCAATACGTAATAGGAGTGTGGCTGAAGAATAGACCTTCCTACCAAATATATCCAACTTTTTATTATCTTTATCAGGGAGCGCATTTTTGTACTGTGGTGCTTTGGTCCTTCGCTGTGCTGCGTCAACCCCTAACGAATTGGGCTGAGGGCGATTGAATAGAAAATCTAACCCTTTTGCCGGCACAAAGTATTTCTTGTCGGCTTTTTTACTCGTAGGAGTAACCGAAGTTGGCATTTGCCATATCTCATCCGCCACTTCCACGATCGCTTCGTCAATTGGTAAGGCGATCCTTGCACGCTGCTGTGGACGGAGGTTCTTTAAGAGACGGTGTGTCTTCACTGGAACATCTGCCAGCTGTATTTCCTGCATGCCTGCTACTCTTTTAAACAGGTCTTGGAATTGTTTTAGATCGTCCGGTGGAGACAATTCACCTAGGCAGATTGCCTCATCTGGTGATGAAGATGCGCAGTCCGCTGGCGAGGTTTCTGGCTTGGGGTCCTCTGTGTCAGACAGCTGCCCCTCTTCCAGGTCAGACTGATCCTATTGGACAGATTGGCTTATCGATGGAGGAGGTGAGTTTAACTGTTGTGGTTGTTGAGGTAAGTATTGCGTGACTGGTGATCGGCAGTTGCAGGATGATCCCCTATGTGAGGATAATACATGTTCACAGTGGGTACTGCCGTCGCACGAGTGATAATAGTGCCCGTAGTAGCGCTCAGAACGTGACGGAGAAGAATGACGCGATGAACGTGCACTACTGTGTTGAATGTAATAGACGCGGCATGGAGAACGTCTAGAGGACCCATATCTAGATGACCGACCCGGAGAACGAGATCGTGAACGAGATCGCTGTGCTTCTAGATATACTGTGTCTCTATAATCGCGCCGTCTGTATGCGACATGGATCGGAGAGACACTATAGTCTCGATACTGTGCACGCCTTGGTGGCGATGGAGATGGTCCTGGTGAGAAAGCTGGGGAGGCAGACCTGTCCCTCCCATGAGTTTTTGATAGAGCTTTCCTAGGCATTGAGGCACTGTCAGTTTCCATGGCAACTGGAGAGCTCTGCACGGAGTGAAAGCAGAGCAGTGCCGGGGAGATCAGCTGCAGCTGCTCTGTTGTCGGTGCCGGTAGAGCGCCTGGTGCCGACGTCATTAAATCTGCCGGTGGAGTCATGTCAGGGACCTGTACGCCTGAGTCCGGTGCCGCCAACGCCGGTGCAGTCACAAGCGGTGCCGCTGGAGCCCGCACCGCTGACGCCGAAACCTCTGAGCCCGGCACCGGCTGGCTTGTCAGTTTCAGCGTTAGCGCTGCACCGCCAGCCGGCGAAGCTGAAGCCGGTGCCATGCCGGCACTGAAGCAGCCCGAGCCCTCGGCATTTGCGATCCCCTATCACCGCGGTCAGTAGAGCCTCGGGACCCCACGGGGGTCAATTTGGGGGCTGCCGAAGCCCTTGAGGCTGCCAGAGGGAGGGAGCGAGTCGGGGACAGCTTTGCCCTCTTTGAAGTAGCCGGTCCAGGAGAAGCCGCTCTCCTTTTAGAATCAGAAGTTTTTGCTGAGCGTATCGGATCAGGTTGTAGTGCCCTGTCAAACGATATCATCCGGAGCTTTAATTCCCGCTCTTTGCGGGCTCTGGACATGAGCTTGCAACAGTGGGTGCACTTTTGAGGAACGTGAGATTCGCCCAGGCACCTTATGCAAGCGTCATGGCCATCAGCCGCCGGCATAGCTTTGCGGCAAACTGAACATTTTTTGAAACCGGGAGACCCCGGCATTGCTAGGAGCCGAAGAGGGTGGCTGGATGCCGACCCAGGCAGTCTCTGTCTTTTTGCTCTTTGTCAATTTCAGCTTTTTTTAGCGCTTGGCCGTAGCGCTAAAGGAATTGATCTGACGAGAAAACTTTTTTTTTTTTTTAAAAGAACAATAGAACTGTAGAACAGGAACACGACTAACCTTAAAAGTAACTATCTACACTGAGAAACGAACTAATAATGCTATTGAGAAATATAAATATAACAACACAGGGAGCTCCGACCGTGACCTGAGGCGGTTGAGAGGAACTGGTGGTTGCCAGCCTGCACGCGGCTGATCAAAGGCGCGAACAGAGCTTTGAAGGAGCGCGCATGCGTGGGCTGGCGGGGCACAGCTATGAAAATTCTCCGAGCCGTGGCGACGGGACGGGACCCGACACCTAGAGTGGAGCACCCACGGGGCCACTCGAAGAAGAACAATCAGTTTCACACATACAGAATGAGAAGTGACTGTCTAGGAAGGAGTACTGCAGAAAGGGATCTATGGGTGTGACACTAGTGCAAAAAAAGCAAACAGGGACATTAACAGGAGTGTTGTGAGCAAGACATGAGAAGTCATTCTTCCGCTCTACTCTGTGCTGATTGGAGTATTGTGTCCAGTTCTGAGCACCACATTTCAAGAAAGATTTGGAGAAGGTGCAGAGAAGAGCAACAGGAATGATTAAAGGTCTAGAGAACATGAGCTATGAAGGAAGACTGAAAGAATTGAGCTTGTTTGGTTTGTTAAGGAGAAGACTGAGAGGAGACATGATAGCGGTTTTCAAGTATCTAAAAGGTTGTCAAAAGAGGAGGGAGAAAAATTGTTCTCCTTGGCCTCTGAAGATAGAACAAGAAGCAATGGGCTTAAATTGCAGCAAGAGAGGTTTAGGTTGGACATTAGGAAAAACTTCCTAACTGTCAGGGTGGCTAAACATTGGAATAAATTGCCTAGGGAGGCTGTGGAATCTCCATCTCTGGAGATAGTTTTAAGAGCGGGTTAGATAGACATCTATCAGGGATGGTCTAGAGATGGTGCTTTGTCCTGCCATGAGAGCAGGGGACTGGACTCAAAGACCACTCAAGGTTCGTTCCAGTTCTAGTGTTCTATGATTTTATAATATTGACTTCAGTAGGACTATTCATCTGCTTACAGTTACATATGTTAAGTATCTTGCTGAATCAAGGTCACTAACTTCCTGATATCATGAAACTGTAACCATACTTAAGGGCATGGTATAAATATATTAAGTTTGATTTTATAGCTATCAAATAATACATGCCTAGAACCAACAGTTAGCATGATGGAGATGTGAATAACATTTAAAATTGTTACAGGCAGTTATATCTAAAAGGATACAATCAAGCAAACAACAGGTGGTAAAACCTGAATGCTATGTTTTAGAATTGTATCACTCAAAGGTATTTGTTTAAATGATTGTTATATTTGGTATAAGAGGTGGAAAAAGCAACAGAATACTATTGTTCACATTTGCTTACCAATGTCGATGTATTTTGGATCAAGGGGTGTACCAATCGAATTGCAGAGAACCAGCACATACTGTGTGGAAATAAGAGCAAATATCAATGCTACAATTTTTGTTTAGGTCAGAAAGTTAATATACTGTACAAAGTCATCCTTTTGTGAAATGTTGCTCATAACATTTACATCTCACAGAATCACAATCATGTTCAGCAGCATGGAAAGCTAAAATACCAAAGCCACCGTAAACACAATGAATGAGAATAATGCTATTCCTACCTCCTACCTTTATATTTGAGACAAACTATGAAATGGGGCTTGAAAAAATGATAACTACATACTATCAGAAGATTGCAACTACTAGTTAAGAGATGACATGAAAGAACAAGATTCTCACCAGGAAGGGGAAATATGAAGGTGACAAGGCCAGTCGCCCATCCCAGTATCTTAGAAGGCATACTGTGCTGGGATTCCTTCTATGGATCCTGTCTCTAGACTAGTGTTTCTCAAAGTGGTCCACAAAAATCACTTTGAGAAACTTATTAAATGGCTGCCCCAGTTTGTTTACTTACCAGCACCGCAATCAGGGAGCCTTGTGGCACCCACTGGCTCCTTTGGGATCAGAAGAACTTTTTCTTTTATATGGTGCAACAAGATTTTCAGTAACACAGAATGGTCTGTTGGACTGAGAAGTGAGGTATGAATTCCTATATTCTATTTCTGGTCTTAATAATAATACTTTGGACTTCTGCGGCAGCTTTCCTAAGAGCTTGTCTATGCAGGGAAACTATTGCTAAATAAGCTGGAGTATGAATTTAAAGCATAATAGCTATTCTGTACTAACTCCCCAACTGGGCACTCTTACTCTCCATGTGGAATAAGATTGTCCACACAGGAGCTATTCTGTAGTAGCTATACTGTGCTATTTCCCCATGTAGACAAGTCATAAGGCCACAATCCAGAAACACACTTAAGCATGTGTTTAATTGTAAGCATGGGGGTATTTCCATTTACTTTAATGGGACTTTTCACATGCTTAAGTTAAACACATGGGGTATGTCTACACTACCCTCCTAGTTCGAACTAGGAGGGTAGTGTAGACATACCCCATCATATTTGACCTGAGTCTCTGGATGGAGGCCTGAGCCTGGGTATTTTAAGGGACCTGTGTTGTTTGAACTTCTGAGTAACCAGTGAGGTAGTACAGAAGCTGTTTTGTGCTGGCTTGCACCCTAACTGACTGACTTCAGCTGTCTCTCATAGTGACCCTGATTACAGTTGCAGAACAGGAAAACCCCTCAGTTAATTACACTTCAATTTAGATGGGTGTTTCTGGCCATGTATGATAGTGTCATTTTCAGCACACACACCAGCACATTATTATGGTACAATCAGTTGAATTAGCACTAAAATGATTCTTTTACCGTTGCACCAATTGACTCCATCTCATGCTCCTCCTTTGTAAGCAACATACAAATGATACAGAAAATAACTAAATTATTTCAGAACTGAATGTAGTACCTATTACATAATGTAAATCTGGTAGTAAAATGTACACCCATCTATTTTAGCCATTTTTACAGCATCTATTACCATAATATCTTAGTGTTACACAGAAAGTGGAAGGTGAAATGTAAATATCTAAATAACAGCACTAGTTCATGGTACTAACCCTTTAGTAACATATACAGACTTTTTATACAAGCATGATTTATTTTTATAATAATTTAAAAATGAAAAAAGAAGAAATGATGCCTGCATCTCAACTTCACACTCATTCCCTTTATATTAATTTTTCAGCATAGACCGGTCTTTGGACTCAGACTTGAATGTCCATTTTAGTCTATCTTTTCCCCACCTATTATTTTAATCACATTATCTAAACTTATTTTATTGCTTTTATAAATCGTTTGTAAATCAGGGACTACCTGCATTTTAAGCCAACATATGTTTAACATGTAGATTATCAGTTTATGGTTGACTCAACATATTAATCACTTTTTTATTATTATGAAAGGACTGCTGTCAAATACAATAGAAAGACAAGGTAGATGAGGTAACATTTTATTGGACCATCTTCTACTGGTGAGAGAGACAAGCTTTTGAATTTACACAGTGCACAGGTCTGGGTTTATAATGGCTATTTCATTTTCTGCCTTACATTGATTGTTAAAAAGCTACAGAGGGATAGCCAAGTTAGTCTTTAACAGGAAAAATTTAAAAAACAACAAATGGTCTGGTAGCACTTTAAAGACTAACAAAACATTTAGCTGGAATCATGAGCTTTCGTATTTGAAGAAGTGGGCTGTGCCCACGAAAGCTCATGATTCCAGCTACATTTTATTGATTTTGTTAGTTAACTGTGCCAGCAATTTTTCTCTTGTTTAAGTGTGTCCTAACCAAATGGTGGCTACATTTAATTGAATGGTGCGGATTCAGAAACTGAAGTACATTTTCCTAAACTTGACTGTAATTTTAAGATTAGCCACATGTGTGCAAAAAATCAAGATATTTTCAAGTGAGATAAAAACAATTTACCTGAGGTTGGTTTTCATCAGCTTTAGTTGCCAAAATGCAGAAGTCTCCACAAGTGGTTATAGAAATCAGACTCTTGACATATTTCACATATTTTTCATTGTTTTTTGTATCCCAAAAAACCACACAGTATTCAGGACGATCAGGCCTGGTATATGCGTATACCACTGTATTGGAGCAGTAACCCCACTGCAGAGATAAACAACATTGTTAATTATGAGCAGAAATTATTTAAGTAGAGTGACACATAGTATGTTGCTACGCTAGAAAAGTTTGATTCATATACACTAACAACATCCATCGATATATTTCCCCCTTCCTCCCAAGTAAAATGCCATATCAAAAATTGTAAAATGTATACCTATTATAAATTGCTAGACTGACAAACCAGGAGACTGAAGCCTTCTGTTAAGTAACAAAATGGGTAGGAGACCTCTTTCCCACACTGCTATGCCAACCCATTGAACCTTGATTTGGAATAGTCCCCCAGGGATGACATTTTCCACAATCTAGTCTCTGTTAAATTTGATAGAGTGGGTTCTAAGTACTCTATGAATCATCTGTGCTAATTTTTGTGATGTGAACACTTGCCCTCCATGAATTGGAGATAAATCATTTAAACACCATCAAAAACTCTGAAACCACTGTAGAAATAATTCAAGGTTTGACCATTAAGATATAATTGAATCTTGCTAAAACTTCCACTCAATTTATGCTATATAATAGTAACGAGAAGTCCTGTGACACCTTATAGACTAACAGATTTACTGGAGCATAAGCTTTCGTGGGCAAAGACCCACTTCTTCAGATGCACTCATCTGATGAAGTGGGTCTTTGCTCACGAAAGCTTATGCTCCAGTAAATCTGTTAGTCTATAAGGTGTCACAGGACTTCTTATTGTTTATACAGATTCAGACTATCACAGCTATCCCTCTGATACTATATAATAGTAAGAAGATATGGGACCTCCCACATTCATTATTTTAGTAGCGGCACACAATATTAACTGCTTGTCATAATTCACAGTCATCTGTTATTGTTGCCAATAGTACTTAAATGAAAGATGTTAGGGATTGGGTGCTTTAATAGAGTGGAAATGGGATACTAAGCCTTTCAATTCTAGCTCACTGGTTCAAATCTGGCCCAAGTTAATGACTTTCAATCACTACCATCTGATGGCTGTTCAGTGGCCATTGTGAACAGCTATTTCCCATGAAAAGGGTACTGATATAATCAGAAGGGCACACCAAAGTCACAAAAGTAATCAAATGTGCTATATAATAAAGACAAAATTTACTTTTGAACTAGCAATCTTTAACATTATAACTAAATGTACTGTCAATAGACTCCATATGTTTGCTGCATTAATAAAGTAGAAAATGAAAGGGTAATTAAATACAAATGAGTAGCTAAGAATTCATATCTTTGTGCAAGCACAACTGTTACCACACAGACTCAGTTTTTCAAGGAAAAGAAATGCAGCTTACATACAAAGTTCTTAGAAATCAGACTTCAAAAATCCCTTATTCCTCCTTCTGATAGTTCTACCTCTTAGCAGGTCTGGAAATATGTATATACAGGGATGCTACCCAAATTTTTGTTTCAGTGTTCTAAGAAAAACAAATTAATATAAAAATACTATAGGCATGTATCCCAGTTGTTACAAATTTCCTACAGAACACACTAGGCAGTGCTTCCTCTGGGGTTGATTAGAATTTTTTTCCAATGCAAATTTCCAGAACTACTTTCAACAAATTTACAGTGAACTATTCGGGGTCTTTTCCTAGCAAACACAGCTTATTTTCTTGTGGCTTTTTACAACAAAGATAGTGTTTCAACTATCTTCAATTATAGTTGTAATACATTCTTCTGCAAGTTTCACATTACACTTTCTTCCTTTCAGCTTTATTTTACAATCTTATCTAAAAGCTAGTTAACAAAACTTGAATGGTTAACAAACAAGCAGTCTTTTCAATTCATTACTTCAATAACCTCTCTTCACTATTATATTATTCTTAAAATGTAATAGCATGGAATATTCTTTGTCAAATGACAACTTTTTCAGCATGCTGACAGCATACATTTGCTATCAGATAACATCAGATAAAACAGGCAAGCAATGCCTCACTAATCTCTTAACCAGAAATCCACTTTTGTACTGCTGTTTTTTCTTAAAAAGTTATATACAACACAGTATAAAGATTTTATAAGTACTGTTTAACTGTACCTAAACACAAATGTTAATCTACTTACCTTTTTAATATGTATTGCCAATTTTATAGTAATATGATTTTTAACTTTGCACAGGAAAACAAATGTAATATAATTGCATCAAATGAAATTATTCATAATACCATAAGTCAAAATGGCTGTTGTAAAACTTTATAAATGACCCAATAGTCACAATCAAACTTGTACTATTCAAACGTGCTAGAAGTCTATGCAGACTTCAAGGAAAGTCTCCCAGACCCATATGTTTAAACCTCAGTCCCGGATCTGGCCCCGTGCTGGGGCTCCAGCCTCTCCTCTCCCGTCCCCCAATTGCCCCACCGCAGGGCTGGTCACAAAAAATCTATTAGGTGGTATTCGAGGAGAATGCTTTTCACTTGTGTGCAACCCCCGACTGATTTTTCTGTGGGTCAGTGGTCCCGATCCAAAAAAGGTTCCCCACTCCTATAAGCTATATAGCACTTTCAGGTATACAGCTAACACCCTCTTCACACTATGACTTTTACATGCAATTTTGTAAGCATTTACTAATGGGACAGCTCGGTTTCTGTTGCACAGCAGTATTTTTGCCATCACATCCATGTTTACACTCACTGCCTGAAGGTATTTACATGAGTGCTTTCTGGGAAAATGTAGGCAGTTGTCTCGTCATGTCTCCAGCAAAAGGCAGGAAGCCAAAGGAAAGAGACACTGAGATAATGACAGGCGAGGAACCAGCTCTCATGCCAACGTCCACAGACCTCACTGAATACTCACAAATGAGTAACTGTAGTTCAGTTTGGATCACCTATTTGTTAGCAGTGAAAATAGATGTTAAATTTATAGGTATGTATTTATTGTTTAAACTTGATGAAATGCTTGTAGAATGCTGCATGTGGTGATCTCCTTTATAACATCTGTAGCCTATGGTATAAAGTTATATTGAGTATTTGAACTGTAAATAGAGTTGTCAATTAATGTGTGTTAACGCCTGCGATTAACGCAGAGCACAATTATCATGTTAATTTTTTTAACATGTTAATCACAGGTGTTTCAGCGGCACTGTTCCTTTGAAACGCCTCCAGGAGAGTAGGAGCCTGGGATCAGCTGGAGTCCACAGCTGACCCCGGGCAGCGCTGCCCCTTTGAAATGCCGCCACTGCATTTCAAAGGGGCAGTGCCTGGGATCAGCTATGCAGCGCTGCCCCTTTGAAGCACCACCCTGGCATTTCAAAGGGGCAGCACAATGCAGCCTGGGATCAGCCGGGGACTCCAGCTGATCCTGGGCTCCCACAGTGCTGCCCTTTGGGAACACCAGGGCGGTGTTTCCAAGGGGCAGCACCGCACAGAGCCAGGGTCAGCTCTGGATCCCAGCTGATCCCAGGCTCCGTGAAGCACTGCCCCTTTGAAACACCGCTGCTGCATTTCAAAGGGGCACCATGAGCAGAGCCTGGGATCAGCTGGGTATTCCAGCTGATCCCGGGCTTCTGCAGTGCTGCTCCTGGGGCAGCGTTTCAAAGGGGCACCTGCACTAAGCCTGGGATCAGCTGTGGACTCTAGCCAATCCCGGGGTCCTGCAGCGCTGCCCCTTTGAAATGCTGTTGCAGCGTTTCAAAGGGGCAGTGCATGCGATTAATCGCGATTATGTTTTTTAATCACTTGACAACCCTAATTGTAAGCCACTGTAACTGTGCAACTTACCAAAGAAAGATTAATTAGTGTAAAGTGCTGGTCCTGTACATAAGGCCACAAACAAAATAAGCCATTGTGAGACATCAAAAGGACAAACACTTTGTTGACTGCTCCTCTCCTCCACAACATTCCTGAAGAGCAGACTAGCACAGACACTTGTTCTATCAACTGGAATACAGGAATGGGAATAAAAAGGCCTGAGCAGAAGAAAACAGAAGTGGAATTTGTTGACGACTGTAGCCGGCAGTCCCCGGCTGTCCCTTAGCTGTAGCCCATTCTCCTCTCTTTCAGCTGTAGTCTTATCATACAGAATAAAAGTGACTAAGAACAAATGTGGTTAACCAAGTTCCTGTTTTGCTGAAATAGTGGAAAAGTCCCAATAATATTAGACACTTGCTTAAGAATCTGCCACTGCTCTGATAAATTGATTGAATCCATGTTTATGAATATGTATATACCATTATGGAATGCATGAGGAAGTATGAATGAGAAACACCCAATCACAAGGCTGTCCAGAACCTTACCTTTTAAGGCAAGAAATGATCTGCAAAGTGTTTAAATTAACGTGACAAGGTGGACGTCTCTCTTTCAGACAAGATGTAACAGCATGCCAAGCCTGGGGACAGCCTGGAAGAAGTAGAGCCCTCCCACAGATCCATAGGGATCTCTGGGGACCCTTGCTGCCTTCACGGTCGATCTCTGGGAAGCTGATGTCTGGCCAGTTTCAGCTGCCTGTGAAATCAAAAGTAATCTATGTCGTACCTGCAGCCTGCCTCTAACCTACCAGCATGAATGCAGTGTGTGTCTTATCATTAAGAATATGTACTAATAAACAAAGCTCAGTCATGCTCAAATTCACCTTTTGTCCAAGTTTATTTCTTGGAGGAGTCCCAGCACAGGTAACAAGGACAACATTTTTAAACATAAGCAAGAGATCCCCAAGCTGCTTATCTTGGGTTAGCCCTAAAGGACATTCAGAGCTTGAATATTACAGCAGCTTCTATTACCTTTTGAAATATAAGACTGTAACTCACTTGTGTATGTAAGTTCACCTGCTTTAACCTTGTAAATAACTCCCATTTCTTTTTCTTGAGTTAATAAACCTTTAGTTTATTACAGAATTGGCTATAAGCATTGTCTTTGGTATGCGATCTGAGGTACAAATGACCTGGAATAAGTGACTAGTCCTTTAGGGTGGGGAGTAACTGAATATTGTTGTGATTTTTGGTGTAAGAGATCATCTATATAACAAACGGAAGCCTCACAGAACTGATAGCAGAGGAGTCTATTGTCAGCCCCAAGCAAGGTCCCCTGATAAAATTGTGGTGAAAGCCTAGTATGGAGGGATTTGCAATATCGCAAAGTAGGACCTCAGTGATGAGCAGATACAAACCATGTTTTAAATCAACTATCGTGGTGACTGGTTACAAACTCTGGGTCAGGTCTTCACTAGAGACTTTTATCCCCACCCTTGAGCAACAGTTATACTTACTTAATCCCGTTATTATGTTGGCAGGAGACCTTCTCATAGTAACTGTCTCTCATGGAGGTAGATTAATTATGCTGATGAGAGAAGCTCTTCTGTCAGCACAGGAGCATTTTCACTGAAGCAGTGTTGTAGCTGCTTTTTATGTGCAGTTATCCTTACACGGGAAAACAAATCTAATATAGCTGAACTGAATTACAGTGGGAACAAAGAGTGGCAGTTTGAGACCCAAATAAGATCTCATTGATATGAATGGAGAGTTTGCATCAATCAGTTTCCCTCTCTTTATAATGTTTCAGGCTGTTAGTATGGAAAAAAAACCAAAAACCTTAGCACTATATTAGATCATACTGGAAGCTCATATGCTGCAACAGCCTCTTCACCAGTGATAGCAATGATGAAAATGGTAGGGCAGACAAGGCTAGGATACTATTAGTGAAAGCTAGCTCCTTCAGGTAAAGTTTAACTAGTAACAAGAAGACACACCTGATCTCTGCCTCAACTATAACTTCCACCCTTGTTACAACTAATGGTAGCACTGGTGGGGAAATATGGTGGGGAAATTTTTCAGTAAATAACTTCAAATATGCTTAGGGATGGTTACATGTTTTAAAATAAAAGCTGAGATTTTTCAAAAACTGATGGATAATTTCTCCCCACTCCCCATCACAAACATTAGCAGATATAAGATATGAAAAATTTAAACTAGTTTAGAAAAAGATTTATCAAAATGCCTTAAAATACAGTAATTATTAAAAAAAGAGCACATATAGAAATGACACTGCCATGATGTGTATTTACTTCCCATTACTAGAGTCCATATTACATTTGGTCAGATTAAAAACCAAAACATTCTAGACTGTCAGTACTCCAAGCACAAGCTGGTATGCAAAAATTAAGCTACATTCTCTTCGCTTTGCACAAAATCTGATAGTCAAAACTTAACTACGGTATTTTGTTGATTACACATAATATAGAACAGAAAATTGTGTGCTCTACTATCAGTGCATTAATGACTGTAATAAAAGGTAAGTCAAGTGCTATACTACTTCCTACCTTGTAATCTGGCCGAATGTTTGCAAAATATATAAAAGAATCAACAGCTAACCCAATCTTCAGTCCACCTCCTTCCCAGGATAATGCTGACATCTGCTTGCCAGGAACTTTCAGTGTACGCAAATGCTTTAAAAAAAAAGAGAAAGAGTGAGAATATTTGAAATATACCATAAAGTTCTGAACACTACTTCATGATTAGAGTTGAATTATCTGAAGCTAAATCATATTTTCAGTTATACCAGTCATAGATAATAGTTACAGTGATCATTGAAGTTGGTACTTGTATTCCTAAACAGATTTTTAAAAGAAATTAATTTGCATCACCATAAAGCGTTATTTTGCCTTTACTGTACTGTTTTATTGGTCAAAGAAAACCACAAAATTTACAATAAATGACTCACTCATAACTCAACTCACAAAACTAAATATTAAAACATGAATGACAGCATGTATTTATCTTCCTTCAGTCCACAATATACATTATTTGAGCTACTTTTTAAATAAATAACTTAATAACTCATTAATAACTCAGTATAGACATTTACATTTATCAAGAATTTAGTTTATCCCGAAGCAAAATGCAGGACAATGTAGCACTTTAAAGACTAACAAGATGGTTTATTAGATGATGAGCTTTCGTGGGCCAGACCCACTTCCTCAGATCCCGATATTATAATCATGTTTATCATAGCATCCAATTGAGGAATTACTTCCAGGCACAATTGCAGAATTTTCTATTTGGCAGCACTGTTTGAAGATTTAGGCTGTAAACCGCTGGACGTTCACAAAATGCCACATTTGAAATCCATATATTTCTACAGATTAACTATAGCCTGTAGACACATATACAAGTAAAAAAAATTACAAGTAGTCCTATTCTATATATAAAATTACTCATGTCTGTAGATCTATTCCTGTTTGTAAGTTTTTGGAATAATCAGGATATTACTATGCATTGATCTTTATGTTATGGCTTCTGTAAAACACATTCCCGTTACATCTGAACCTGATTTTCATGCCTCAGTATGACCTCCAGTTCAAGTAGGGATGTTGGATATTGTTTAATTTAATAATTGTGTAACAGCACCAAATTTAAGTGATTACACAATTATTTGATGGACCCCGGGAGCAGGGCCAGCAGCCAATGTGCTCCCAACACCATTTCCAGGGAGCCCCTGCCTCTGTGGGAGGCAGCAAAGGAGCCAGGAGGCTCTGTGGAGCCAGTATGGAAGGAGAACTGGCTTAAAAGCTGCCCCCTCCCCACGCCGTGTACCAGCTTCTGTCTGCCCCCCACCATCTATACTGCTGCCTCTCTTATCAGAGACAGCAGCATGGAGGTAGGAGGGGGTCAGGCAGCTTCATGAGATGCAGTGTTCATGGGGGTGCATGCAGTTGTTTGGATTAACTGACAGGGTTGCCAGATGGTTTAACCAAAAATACTGAACACCGCCCCCCACCCGCCCCCCCCAAAAAAACCCACCAGGGAAAAAATTCTTTTGAAAATACTGACCCCCCCCCCCCACCCGCCCCCCCCAAAAAAACCCACCAGGGAAAAAATTCTTTTGAGGGGGAAAAAGGAGGGAGACCAAAGTTGTTGAGGAAAAAAATATTTAAAAATAAAACAGTATTAAAACAGCATGGCCTTTCAGTGTGTGTGCAGAGTCATAATAGGGATAGGAACAGGGGAGCTGATGAGCACCAAGACTCAGGGAAAGCATTGCTTCCCCTTGGTCTTTAGGCTTTTTGCCGGCAGCCATTTTGTTTTCTTGATCAAGCCAGAACGCAGCTTCTCTGTGGAATCAGGTAAGCAGAGGGTCTGGGGGGGTGGGGAGGTGTCAGGGGAGTGGGGAGGCCAGGGGCTGGGCCCAGTTGCCAAGTGTGTTGTAGGGTTGCCAAGTGTCCAGTATTTTCGCCTCCTGGCCGGGAAAAAATATCAGAAAATACCGGACATTTTAGGTGTCCGGTAGTTTCTGAATTTTTTTTACTGGACAGGAGACGAAAATACCAGACTGTCCGGGTCAATACCGGACACCTGGCAACCCTATTGCCCAGGCTTATCAGTTAATCGTTTACATGACTATACGCTAATATCCCTACTTTCAAGGGCATAACGTTAGGCACAAATTAACAGAAGGTACAAATTTATATGACTAATTGTCCATCAAAGGGTGTAACTCAAGTACATAGCCATTTAAGTCCAAAATATACTGTGGACATAAACTACACTCACAAAAAGAGAGGACATTTTCTGAGAACATGAGCCATTATTTGTAAGTGTTGGAATTGTAGTAAGAGGAGGACTTGAAACAAAAGCCCATGTAGCACAGGCCTGGTTTGAGGCCTGAGGCCTACCTAACAATGGACAAACCTTGGCTATTAGAAAGCAAAGCTAAGCTGTTAGCAACAGGCAGGCCCCTGCTCAAAGAACTTGGCACAAACAGGACAGAGTGCAAAACACTAATTGGTAATAGGCCCAGGTGTAGAACAGTAATTGGCACTAGGGACTGATTGTAAAACAGTAATTGGTACTGATCATAAATTGAAAACACATTCCAAAAGGATGGTACCACCAACTTGTTAAAGACTTTAGTACCCACATTCCCCACAGATACCAACCCAGGTTCAGGAAAGAGTCTAAAATGACAGCATGATGAATAGAGACATTCTAATCAAACCACGAGGTACAGGGGGATGGGTGGTAACCTGACAACAGCAGAGGTGGCAACCTGACACATCAGGAGTAACGTGTAACTTGTTTGTACCTGTGTACAAAGTGATATCTTGGAGGGACAGTCTTTATCCAACTGAGAGGACCGTAGAACCTACCATTGACTGAGCTGAGTCCATTGTTATAGGGTACATATGTGTAGTGGTACGGTAGAGTCTACTGACAACTATTACTGTACTTTGCTTAATAATAAAGTTGGCCTGGCACCTTCGATCCTTATCTGATTTGTGGTATTTGGGGGGCTCTTTAGGAGTCTCCTGTGTTAACTAATTGTGCAAGACAACATGGCGCACATGACTGAGCACACACACATGCATCCTTCTGGTTATCATTATTATTGGAGCAGGAGACCGGTAAGGACACCAATAAATCCTAACCTATTACATTGGTTACCCTATTACAGAAATTAATACAACACAATTTTCCATAGACCTCAAAATCAGAATGGTTTACTTATGAATATTTCTGCATTCATCAGGAATGCTTGGTTCAGTCACCCATGTAATGAAACAGACATCAGTTAAATTGTCCCAAAGATTTGGGCATCAAATATTATAAGCTGTAGATCAGCCCTCCTTCCAAAAATCAGGGTTATACTGGATCTTATTTTCAGAGCAAAATGTAAGACATCTCTCTCACTGTTATTAACCTACTACAACTATCTTCAGAACTAGTCTGGACTTCCTTTTAGGCTGAGCAGGCAACTAACTGGTTAAACATTACAGTTTTAACTGCTTAACCAGTTAACTAAACAATTATTAAATTCCTACTTCCTTCCCTACAAAAATTAGAAATTTTCTTATATGCAAATTACCTTTATTTTACATAATTCTGTTGATCCTTAAATAATAGAAATAGTTATATTACATAACAATGTCCATACTGGGTCAGACTAAAGGTCCATTTAGGCCAGTCATTCGACAGAGGCCAATATATATTAGAGGTTAGACAATGTATTGTGAGAGCAGCAAAAAATACAAAAATCCCATCACTTAGGAGGCGGAAACTGGTGCGTGGCCTGGCTTATGCTATAGCTATATCAAAGACCTTCATTATGGGGTAAAGCAAGGAAGATAGGGCATAAAAGATTTTGGGAGCAGTTTTCTGAAAGTATCGGTTAAGCACCTAACTACCTTTAGAACTCTGTGTATGACAAAACTATGCCCAACCAACAGATGAGGTGTCATTGATGTCAGGTGTCATGAACTAAGTTTCACTGAATGTCATCCACAGAAATATAGTTACAGCATAATATACTAATGCTGTGCAGTAATAAATTCACACAATGAACTTCTCAAATCGTGATGATTAATACTGTTTGATTATCCATTCAATTAGTAGACATGCAATTAGTAGACAAATTAATTCCCTACAAAAATAATGTTAAGATAACCTCCATATACTCTTACTATATATTCAAACTACAGTGCACTTCTGACACACTGATCATGGTTTTGGCAATCACCATATAAATAAAATGTATACCAAAATTGGTTGGGATTTAGATAGTGTGCATTTTCCATCTGAAATACGATAACTATATTAAATATTTTTACCTCACCAAAAGGAGTGTAGAACTGCACCAGATTTACATCTTTATCTTGAGTAGCTGCTTTTTGGAAGCCTGCCACAGCCAACACACTTCCACAGTGGTTCCACTGGATACTCACTACATTCATACCAGTGTCAATCAAAACAGGGTCTAATTTTTAGAAAGAAAAAAGAAAAATGTAAAAAGTTTAAGTATCAATTCTGGACAAGAATCACTCAGTATTCAGTATCCTATACCTGAGTGAAAAGGCAATCAATTCAAATTTTAGGGACACATAATTTTAAGTTTTTTAGATGTTATGACAAAGGGTCACTTTGTTGCTTCTGTAGGCCACGTGCATTACATACACCAAGTATGCCTGCTTACAAGGAGAGGCAAAGAGTGTAGTTGCCCCTGGGCCCGGCAATTCAAAGGGACCCAGAGTTCCAGCCATTGCCTCTGCCACAGTACCACCATCCAGAACTGCTTTGAACTGCCATCGGAGCACCGCTCTGCATGGCTCTGAGGACTGGAGTGGGAGATCCAATGCCGCAATCCAGGTGGCGCTGTGGGTTGGCTGCCCCCAGCTGTCCCCTTCTGCCCAAGCAGAGCTGGGCAGCCCCTACACTTTGTCGTTGGGCCCGGGGTAGCTGTTGGCCCCACCGACTCCAAAGGACTCCTTGCATTTGTCCATTCTCCCCGCAAGCTCCTTGTCTGCCACCTTCCCATTCTCCTCTATTTTATGGACTCTGTACCACCCCTATCCTCATGACAGGAGCTCTGTGTTCTACTTCATTACTCCATGCACTACATACCACAGGTACAGTGTGCTCCCCATTGCAATGCCTCTGGCACAAGGGTGAGCAAAAGGGCCTCTGTGGTTCGGGTCCAGCCAGCAGAGGCCCTGCTGCTCCCCACACTCCCAGGCCAATCAGAGGCTGGGGGCAGGGGTGAAGAGCGTTAAGTCTCTTTCCGCCCGCCCCCATCCTGCAAGGAGTGTGCGGTGCTTAGAAGCACCGCACACTCCTGGCAGGGCAGGAGGAGACTTGGTGTGCTTCCCCCACCACCAAGCCCTAATTGGCCTGGGGGTAGAGGGAAGCACAGGAAGTCTCCACCTGCCCTGCCAGGAGTGCATGGCGCTTCTAAGTGCCATGCATTCCTGTCAGGGTGGGGCACTTCTAAGCGCCACATGCTCCTTGCAGGACCAGGGCAGGGAGAGAGGAAATTTCACACTCTTCCTCCACCTCCAAGCCAATCAGGGTTTGGGGGTGGCGAGAGCACATGAAGTCTCCTCCTGCCCTGCAAAGGGCTCAGCAGTTAATGTCAATCGTCAGCTACTACTCAACTGGCGGTTGACTCTAAGCACAGTGCTACCTTGCAGGGCCATGGGGCTACACTAGCTGGGTGGTGGACTGCTCCTGCTAGCTACAGTGGCAGGGGGGGGGGGGGGGGGGAGGAAAAGACTTTGCACACTCCCCTACCTTCAGACCAATCAGGGTCTGTGGATGTGGAAGCATGGAAGTGTCCTGGCCCTGCCCCTTCTGGGGTGGCCGGGGCCACTTAAAAAATTTCTGAAGTGGCCCCCAGTCAAAAATTATTGCCCACCCCTGCTCTGGCATATGGAAGAAGGTGTATATTCCCCCATCCAATGACATACCAGTTGCACTGTGTCCCTCCATGATATCATAGCTTCCATTTCCCCCCCCCCCAATGCCAAGAGATGTGGCATTTTCACCCCCCCGTAATGTTTGCCACTTCATTCCCCCTTTCTAACCATGGCTAGATGTCTTTGAGCCCTTGAAGCAAGTTTCCCTAGTCTCCTCTATGCCTAAAGCTCAATATGAGCCTTCTATCACCCCACACCACTTCTTCTCTTTCTGTCTGGGGCTGTCAACTAATAGTTTGACCTACAGACAATTACACAGGTGGTTGAAGCTACTGGATCAGCCAAGGGATGCTAGGGTCTCCATGTGTTCCTCATTTTCCCCTTATGATTTTCACAAAAAATCAGTTTGTTTCTGGCTGTTGATTCCTTGAACATACCCTGGCACTTTGGAATTACGAAGATGAAGCGTTCAAAAGTAATGGCATTACAGACAAACAGAGAAATTTCTTCAAGCTGAGAATAAGGCCTCATTTTGCTTGGCTAAAAAGAAAATTATACTCACTTTGGTCATTCTCATGTCTCATTATCTGGCATCTTCCATTATCAAAACAGATAGCAAGGCAAGGGCAATCTGGCTCAGTATATCCCTCTGTACCAGGGTACCAATGTATTCCAGCAATACTGAATGCTCCAGTTACATTCACCAAACAATTCAGTTTCATTTTCATCTAGAAAGGGAATTGTTTATATCATTTAACTAATCTATGTATTTAACTAAGTTAAATTTATATTTATACCAACATCTTACAAATGTACTAGAGCAGGGTGGGAAGTGGTTGTCCCCTTCCAGGAGAGTTCTCAAGATCTCAAGAAGATTTTCTCATTCTCATTCAAAACAAAAGCTCAAAAATCAAGAAAATATGGTGGTGGGGGGAATGATTCAAGTCAACTGATGCATTTTGTTTTAATAATTTCACAATGTTGCATTTAGATTGCAACCTTTTAAAATTATTATGTATTTTTAACTATAAATTGACTTGAAATTCAAAACAAAGTCATTTTGAACCAAATAAAGGATTTTTTTTATTTTGAAAATGTCAATAAAGACATACAATTTCAAAAAAAATTTCCACAAAAATTTACTTCTAAATTTGAAATTTGTCAAAACCAACTCTGACCCTTTCCTGATGAAAGTTTTGGTTTAAAAGAATCAGCATTTTTAACAGTAAAATTTCCAACCAGCTCTATAAAAGGCCTCCCCATTTATTTATACAGTTTGCAGATGTTAATTCTTATAAAACTAAATACATTTCTAAGTAATTCAAGAGACAACTGGAAAAAGCTGATGTTTTATATATATTTGTAATCCACAACTACAGTATGTTTTAAAGTCACTCGAGCCCAATCTTCCCACATATTCTAAACAAAATGAGCTTTGGGTGATAAAGTACTATGCAGGCTGAACTTCTCTAGTCCGGTACCCTGGGGACCTGACGAGTGCTGAACCAGAGAATTTGCTCAATCATGGAAGGTCAATGTTGTCTAGCAACATTACCAACACTTCCACTGTTTACTGGGCTTTTAGAAGACATGTAGGGGTGAATTAGAGTTAAACAACAGCACAGAACACTGAGAGCCAGGACTGGTGGCTGTAAACAAACTTTATGGCACCAAGGGAAACTTGGCCATGTCCATGGTAAGTGGGCATCTGGCTAACTAAAATCATGCTGGACCATGGATATTGCTGGATCTGAAAGGTTCAACACGTACAAGGAAAAGACTCAAAATATCTGGTATTGTTTAATACCTTTAACACACAAGCAAAAAGATGCACTGACTTTGAAAATGGTTTGAAGCATACTTCACATTACTGTTGTATAAACTAGATGGGAGCCCTTCTTTGAGTAACAGATTCTAAACAATGCTAAACCAGGACCATGGTTGAGACTAGATCACAGCTGGATTTAAAACATGTGTCTTTAAAATAGTTATCACAGAGTTTTAAAATTGCATAGTGAGGACACAAAGAATATTATCCACTTTTAAACAGTGGTATTGATTTACTTATTCACAAATGGTAGCAGGGCTAGAATTTGAGAGAGGGTAGATATTTACCAATCCCTTCTTTCCAGGTTACTGCTTTATCATCTATCTGCATCTGACCTCTTGTAGTTATCAATTTTTAAAAAGAAAAATTAAATAAAAGGATTTTTTTTGGTCTACAGAAGCACTTCAAGTCTTTTTGGACTTCTTTTTAAATGGTCTCTTCTATTAAATGATACACTAGTTAATTAGGGCAAAAGGCTATCCATCAAGATGGACATATAGAGGATTTTCTAGTGTGTTGTTGCCTAAAATGTAATGCTACAAATTCCAAATATAACAAAAAATGAAGTCAGTGAAGTATTTTCAAAGTTATTCCTATACTCCACATAACTAGAAGATCAAACTAAACAATGGCAAATAAAATACACACTGACAGAAACATAAAATAGTATACATATTTATTTTTCTGCAGGGACTTGATGAGATGTAATTATTTTAAGAGCTTTAATTTAATATAACACTAAAATTCTGTTTCACTGTACTGACGCACTGTTCTATGACAAAGATACGCTAGTTCTAATGATAAATGAAATGAAGCTCATGCAGCTAGCATCTATATGTTTTCAAATTTCTCTTTTAAATAGTGGATTACAAGACAAAAATGCTTTAATTGATGTTCTTGTCACTTAGCTGCTCATAATAACAGTGTATTTAAACTTTATCAGAATATTCACATTGCCAAGTTTTCTAATACATGCATAAAAATCAGAATAAGAAGTCTTCGCATAGGACCTTGTGCAATTCTGAAGATTCAAAACAAACTAATTAATAAAAGATTAAACTTAAAAAACAACAAATGGTCTGGTAGCACTTTATAGACTAACAAAACATGTAGAAGGTATCATGAGCTTTCGTGGGCACAGCCCATTTCTCCAGATGACCAGAGTTTATAAAAGATTATAGCTACTACAGTGAAAGACACATTATCCAGCATTTTACCAACTAGAAGTCTCTATAAACTGGCATTTCTGATTTTCAATAGGGCGCAGTTATTTGCAGAGATGGCAGGTTCCCTGCCTGGCTCCATATATCCCTGCTCCTCCTATGCAGAGGAACAGCCATGGGAATTCCCAGTCCTGCCCCAAGATACTGGTTCTGCAGCTCACATTGACTGGGAAGCACAGCCAATAGGTAATGCAGGATCAGAATCCACAGGTGGATGCAGTACACAGAGCCTCCTGGCCGTGCCTCCACCTATGAGCAGAGAAACATATTGCCACTTGTGGAGAGAGGCCTCAGGAGAGCACCACCCAAATTTGGCACCCCACAACCCTTCCTGCATCCAAACTCTCCACCTCTTGTTTAACTATAATGTTTTACTTACTGGCACCACCCACTCTCCCAATATGCTGGACAATGAAGCTTTTACTGTACTTGTAAAGTATATCTGTCTTGTGATCTACAGTTTTATATTAAAAATTAGATAGTTGACATGTATACTATATAGTATATAACTCTGAACTTACAAGAAAATTCCCTTGGTTGTCATAAATATGAATTTCTCCATTTGCCATTCCAAAGAGTAGAGTTTTGCTATCTGAGGACCATGCTACATGACACAGTTGTGAACCTTTCAAATCTTTCCCCCAAATACGATTACCTTTAATAGAACATTATTAAACTTATGAAACATACCAGAAAATTGAAAAGATGCAAATTACTTACACTGCAAAAACAACATAAACAAATGAGATATTCAAAGTTACAGTTTACACAGCAACTAACTCAGTGATATGTATATTCAGGCAGAAAGTTCTGTAATCAGTGTTACTGTGGGAAACATAAACCATGATGCCAGCCTCCATAAACTACTTCTTAAATTTTCAAACACTCTCCTTAGTGATTTCTTTTAAACTGTCCCTTAGCTTGGGAGGAGCACGTCATAGAGAGCCTCATTAGCCTCCTTCAAATCCATCCCTTAAAGCCTCCTATGCTCTGATGACTACAAAAAAAAATTGAGAACAGTTAAGCTGCTAGGAGATCACCACCTATCATGGTGACCAAGATTGTGTCTTCTGTCTGTAACCATTTGTTGTCTCTTGTCTTATATTTAGATTGTAAGCTCATTGGATCAGGGTCCATATTTTTGTTCTGTGGTTGTACAGCATGTAGCCTATTGTACAAAATTAGAGTTCACAGATGCTATGGTAATACTATTATTATTTACTATTTGTAACAACCTTACCATCCACTGAACCAACAATCACAGCCCCATCTTCATACACAATACAGATCTTTTGTCCATCAGCATTCCAGCTCATACTTCGAACAACAGATTTATTTCTATTGTTGATCATCTCCTCATACCAAGCACCTGTTATCAGAGAACGGAACTAAGTTGTACCTTTCACTTTTCAATCCTTTAAGGTACAGTGTTTATTGAAAGTAACCCAAGACATATTCAGATGTGGCTAGTCATTAAATGTCAAAAAACTGCAAATAGCATAATAATGACATTCACAAATGATGCTAACTTTGAAGTATTATGAACACATGAAAGTTGGAAGAAAGAATATAATAGAACATAAAGGGGTTATAAATGTTAACTGGAAATAAAATTAGATTCAAATTTATCTGAAATACAGATATTCAGCAAAAGGAAGAAACTTGTGGAACAATAATAAAGAACAAGATCTGAGGTGAGACTGAGCAGATAATTAGAGAAAATTGGGTATCATTTTGCTATGTGATACAGCAACAAAAAAAGGCCAATGTGGCATTCGGCTGCATACACAGAGGTGATGTAAACAGAAAGGAGAGGCATGATTTATTAAGATGTACAGGTCATCCAATAACAACGAGAAGTATAAAGGCATCATTACAAAACAACAAATATCATAAAGTGCAGACACCAGAGATGGAGAATTAAAAAGGATGGTTCAAAGTAGTAAAGTGATCAAGTTAAGAAACAAAAGAAAACTTAGGATGTGTATTTAAAATAAACAAATAACTAAAAAATTGCCTAAAATGAGAGCTACCAGATTATGGAATAGCTTTCACAAAGGATGCAAAGAAAACTCATGGCTACATTTCTATCACTCTCCTGCTTATAACATTCAATAGACAATACATAAACAATATACTATAGAAAACAATTTTCTTTGACAGGGTAATGAACTAAATGACCTAATGAGTGTTTTACCAGTAAAATTAATTCTAGCCAAAGTAAACCATCAGATTTGATGCAACCAAGATAGGGAACTGAACTCTAAGAATGCTAGTAATTTGATAAAGGACTCTGTTTTCTAACAAAGACTTTTTCTTTCTTTCTCTCTCAATATATACATTTTCATTGATTTGTGTTGGTAAAATTGCTTGTGATAATTGGTGCACTTCTACAATTGAGGAATTTTTAATTGCGCTGATGCATATATTTTTAAAAGCTCAAATATTAAACAGCAAATGAGTACTATAAGTTATATATTACTTAGGGTATGTCTAGACTACAGGCTTACGTCGACATACCGTATTTTCCGGCGTATAGGGCGACTGGGTGTATAAGACGACCCCCTATCTTTTTAATTAAAAGATAGGGTTTCATCTTATACCCCAGCGCCCCTCCGCCTCCTTTGCTCCCGGTGTCCCTGGTCTGCTGGAGATGGTCCCCAGCTATAAGTTATATATTACTTAGGGTATGTCTAGACTACAGGCTTACGTCGACATACCGTATTTTCCGGCGTATAGGGCGACTGGGTGTATAAGACGACCCCCTATCTTTTTAATTAAAAGATAGGGTTTCATCTTATACCCCAGCGCCCCTCCGCCTCCTTTGCTCCCGGTGTCCCTGGTCTGCTGGAGATGGTCCCCAGCAGACCAGGAGGGGCTCCGGCGGGGGGGCAGCCCATGCGCGCCTGGGATGCCCCCCCCGCCGGCTTCCCCCGGCGCTTTTC